CCTGATGCTATATCTAACCATAATGAAGTTTCCTTATTTCCCTTTCTTCCTCTCTCTCTCTCTCTCTCTCTCTCTTTCCTCTTTGAACAGGTTCATGATCGTATAAAACAGGAAATAGGTCAACCTTTCATGTGACCAGATCCAGTGCTTTGAAGTTAATGGTCCGCATCGATTTGGTTTTATGTGGTGACATTTCAGCCTGGAAACTGCACGGCAGCTATTCGACAAGACGATTGTACCATGGAGCATCATGTCAAAATGAGACGGGTTTGGCAGCTTACAAGGTTCTACTGTATAATGCAACATTTCTCACCCCCTTTGGAAATACAGGTAAGCAAGAATCCAGATGACCTAAATGCAGAGTTGCTTTCTCTGAAACCGTTTCAGCTAAACAACAAAAGCCATGAAAACAGGGAAGTTTCAAGTCTGCTACTTCTTACCAGGCTAATCAGGACACCTGAAAACCGTAGAATCTATCATTTCTTGGTCCATGTCCACAAAGCATGTGTGTGTTTTTTTTCAAAAATGAAAAGTTTTTTTTTTTTCACGATTTAAACATTTGCACGTAAAACAGCAAAGCTGAATATTGTATAATTAAACTGCTCAACCTTTGAAGACCTGTTCCGGTATGCAGGTGAGAATGAAGATGACCCAAGTACAGAGGTGCTTTCACTGAACAGTTTCAGCTAAACAACAAATGAAATAGGCACCACATAGAATCAGGGAGGTATATACATGCGCTACTTCTTACCAGGCTAATTAAAACACTTGAAGCTGCTAGAATCTCTCATTTCTTGGTCCAGTCCCAAAATACATGCAAAGCATATGCTTTTTCACAAATGAAAAGTCTTTGTACAATTTAAACATGTGTATATAAAACAACAAAGCTGATTGTATAATAGAACATATGGCTGTACATATAAGCCATCATTGAATTAGTCTAAGCAGATAAAGCAGTAAAGGATAATCATACAACAGTACCGAGACTAAGGTGGTATTTGTTTTCACTGTGCAAGCTCTTCAAACCACTTATGTCTGCATCGCGCAGACCACGCGCAGACATTAGGTTTCGCAGACTGTTTGTTTTTTAGAAGACAGAAGCTCTTCAAACGTCTGCTCGAGCTCTTTTTGGTGCAGACTTGATTTTATGTCTTCAAAGGTCTTCAAACATCTTCAATAACAATTATAAAATATATTTATTTATTAAAATAATTTTAAATAATTTAATAAGGTTATTTATTTTAAAATAATTTATTTTAAAATAATTTATTATAAAATAATTTATTTTAAAATAAATTATTATAAAATATGGATTGATTTATTTTAAAATAATTTATTTTAAATAATTTATTAGTATTGATTGATTTATTTTGAAATATGGATTGATTTATTTTAAATAATTTATTAGTATGTATTGATTTATTTTAAATAATTTATTAGTATGGATTGATTTATTTTAAAATATGGATTGATTTATTATTGTAATTGTATGGATTGATTTATTTTAAATAATTTATTAGTATAGATTGATTTATTTTAAATAATTTATTAGTATGATTGATTTATTTTAAATAATTTATTAGTATGATTGATTTATTTTAAAATATGGATTGATTTATTTTAAATAATTTATTATTGTAGTTGTATGGATTATTTAAATTTCAGTATTGTAAAATTAAAATTATTTAAATCTCAGTATTGCAAATCTCTTTTAAGTTTAAAAAATTAGTTTATTTATATTTCAGTTCATTTTAACAGTCTGCAGACGTTAAAAAACAAAAGTATTCTTCTTGCAGACTGCAAACTTTTGATCCACCTCTTCTGCTGCAGATGCCTGCAGATATGGTCCGCAGACTGCAGACCTTTTATCTCTGCAAAAACAAACACCACCTAAGCAGTAAGCATTTATCTAGGAAGTATTTAAAATGAAAAACATGGCAGATTAGGGCTTAATTTGTCTAGTTTCGCCTTCGACTCTCTGGATTGGGAGTTCATCTTGTTGGTTTTGGCTTTTAGATGTTGGATTGAAACCTGCTTGACCTCTCCGCGTTTTTTCCATCTCGTTTAATGGGACCCTTGTTGGTCATTTTGTTGGGGTTAGGAGTATAGGCAAGGGGACTTCCTTTCCCATATCTATTTGTCCTTGCAATGAATGTTTTGTCCAAGGTTTTAGATTTGGCTGTGGTAAAGGGTATTTTTCAATTTCATCCTAAGTGTAGGAGGATTAACCTTACCCATCTTTATTTTGCGGACGACCTCCTCATCTTTTGCAAGGGTTCTTTAGACTCGATGATCAGGGTTGCTTGTGTTCTGGAGGAGTTCTATCGGCTTTCTGGTCTAAAATTGAATGCAGGCAAGAGCGAGATGTTTTCTTCTGGTATTTCCCCTGCTCTTTTGGATGAGATTCAGGGGGCCTTGGGCTTTAAGGCTGGTTGCTTGCCTGTAAGGTACTTGGGGGTCCCTATTGTGGCTCGTAAACTCTCAGTGAATGACTGTCAGCCCTTATTGGAAAATATCAAAACTAAGCTGGGTCAATGGTCTAATAGGCATCTGAGTTATGCTGAGCGGCTTCAGTTGATGAAGTCTGTTCTGATGAGTAAATGAATTTTTGGTACAGACAACTAATTCTGCCTAGTCGGTGATCAACAGGATTAATCAACTCTGTCTGCGTTACTTTTGGAAGGGTGAAGATGCTAAAGCTGAGAGGGCAAAGGTTGGTTGGTAGGTGGTTTGCTCCTTGAAGTCTGAAGGAGGGTTGAGGTTGAAGGATATCTGGTGCTGGAATAAGGCTTGTATCATGCAGCTCATGCGTAAGCTGCTTGTTGGGAAAGGCACCCTTTGGATGGCCTGGGTCCACTCCTATGTGTTAATAGGGGTTGACTTTTGACTTTCTATCTGTAGAATCAATGGTAACTGGTGTCTTCGAAAGATGTTCAAGCTAAGGAGTGAAGCTGTTCCAGTTCTCTCTGGTTTGGTTGGGCATGAGGTTAAGGTTACTTGGATTTGGATAAGATCAAACGTCAGGTTCCTCATGTCCCTTGCCAGAAGCTAATATGATACCCTGGGTATGTACGTAAGCACTATGTAATTGCTTGGTTGGCTATCTTTAGTAGGCTCAGTACTAAGGATAGATTGTTGCGTATGAATATTGTTGTGGGCCGTTATTGTATGTTTTGTTCTTTATCTGTGGAATCTATGGAGCATTTGGGATAAAGTCCTTAGGTTTTACAGTATTGGCAGGATCATTGTGGATTGGGAGCATGAGTTGACTTGGGCTAGCTCCTCAATGAAGGGTAAATCCTTGTTGGCTTTTGTTTATAAGATTGCTTGGGGTGCCCACATTTATAGAGAGTGGTTCGAGAGGATATGTACGTTTTTTTTTGGGGGGAGGGGAGGGCCCGTTCCGTTGACGAGGTCTTTAATGACATTAGAGAGGTTATTAGGATTAAAGGTAAGGGTCGTTGTATAGATTCTTTGAGTTTTATTTGCAGTAGGTATTGTTCTACCTAGGGTATCTCTTAGGTTTTTTTTTTGTTTGTAAAAGAGTCCCTTTTATACCTTGTACTTGGTAGCATCTTTATGTTTTCTTGGATAATATATCAGGGTTTTAAATCGCGGTCGCGGTCGCGTTTTTGGTTATTTCGGATTTATCGTGATTGCGGCCGTCGCGGACACTATTGAGCGCTATTACGGGTGTAGCGGGTAACTCAGACGATGACGAAACCACTATATTGCGGACGAAATCGCGATCGCGGAACGTTTTTTGAAACAATGTAATATACAATAACTTATCCAAAAAAAATGATGTGTCTAGTTTCAAATGTATGAGAATCTAAAAATAAACAATTGAACCCCCAAAAAAAATGAAGGGGACAAGACAGTTTATCTAGTTTAATAACTACGGGGACTAAAAATGCAATTGGCCCTAAAATGTTGGGGGCATATGCTCTCCCAGCTTACACGTGACTCTGTCTCAGATAATTATCAATTTTTATCCATGCATAGAAATTGAACCGCTCCGATAAAAGAAATTGATTTTTTTTTAAAACGATACGTTTGAAATATATGAGTATTTAATTAATTATTTTTAATAGTCAAGAATTCAATAATAAAACGTTTTACGATTAAGATAATTATTTTATAATTTTTAATAATCGAAATATCTAATAAGACAACACTTAATAAACGGGGATAATTTGTATATTTTACCCTTTTCTATCAAATGAATTCCAGCTTTAGGCCAATAGCCCATAGGGCATAGCCTCTTACAGTTGTGGTTGGTGACTCCTAAATGCTTCACCTTATTGAGCATGTGCACTAATTCAAAGTCCACCATAATTTGGTTGGATCCTATTAGCCTACATCTTCCCAGCTTCTCCCTTTGATTTTCCCACTGATTTTAATTATTTCAATTTAATATCACAACCATCATTCAAAGCATGTAATCGTCCAAACAAAATTATAAAAAAATAAGGTTTAAGATTCATTTAGATATATCTACTAATATTTGACCTATAGTATACTTAATTTATTATTTTTGTTCCTATCATTTTTTATATCAATTTAACCATCGAAGTTGTTCAATTGCATTATATTATATTTATCATAACTTAAAACGTAAACCCTGAATCTCGAATCTTAAACTCTAATTTAAGATTTATATTTTAAGGCTTTAAGTTAAATGTATAATATAAAATGATGCAATTAAACAACTTTACAAGTTAAATTGTTGCGAAAATACATGAGTAAAAATAATAAATTTGATATACTAGATGTACAAAGATAACTTTTAGACCTTTAAATATTCATCTAATACTCTAATCTATATTATTTTTTTATTTGTTTCGTCAAATAGAACGTACCATAAAATTTTCAAATTAAATCAAATGAAATTAACCACACTCCAACGCATCAGACAAAGAAGGGACCATTACATGTGAGCCTAATTAGCAACACAACATTACGAGAAAGCTTCACAGTAAGCGTCTCGCTGTCTTCATCATGGGGGGGGGGGGAAGAAGATGGGGAAGTTCTGGCTCTTTGCTTTTATCCTTTGGCAGATAATTCCAAAGCAAGCAGCCGTCACTTTCGGTGGTGGTGTCGGCATTAATATCGGCAATGCCGGAGGTTTTTGGATTGGTGGAGGAATCAACACCAACACCAACAACAACCCAACTCCATCAAACCCTTCAGTGTCAAAGCTGTCCACTGCTTACACTGCTCTTCAAGCATGGAAATCTGCCATCACAGATGACCCGTTGGGGATTTTGGAGACTTGGGTTGGTCCAGATGTGTGTTCTTACAAGGGTGTGTTCTGTGCCGGTTCTCAAGGTGCAATGCCTCCATTTGTTTCAGCCATAGACCTCAACCATGCAAATCTGCAAGGCACTCTGGTCAAAGAGCTGTCTATGCTTACGGATATTTCGATCCTCCACCTTAACAGCAACAGGTTCCATTGCACAATCCCTGAAACTTTCAAATATATTTCATCACTTCAAGAGTTGGACCTCAGCAACAATCATTTCTCAGGTCCTTTTCCTACTGTCGTTTTGTACCTTCCGAATCTTGTTTATTTAGACCTTAGGTTAAACAACTTATCGGGACTCCTCCCTGATGATCTGTTCAACAAAAGACTCGATGCAATCTTCCTCAACAACAACCGGTTCGAAGGTGAACTCCCTCAAAATCTGGGTAATTCCCCAGCCTCTGTTATAAACTTGGCCAACAACAAGTTCAGCGGGAACATCCCTGTGAGTTTTGGGTTAGCCAGTTATAAATTGAAGGAGATTCTGCTGCTTAACAACCAGTTAACAGGCTGCATTCCAGAAGGTGTTGGGCTGTTCTCGGAGATGCAAGTTTTCGACGTGAGCCGCAACTCGCTGATGGGTCGTTTGCCGGACACGGTATCTTGTTTAAGTGACATTGAGGTTCTCAATTTGGCACACAACAAACTATCAGGCGAACTACCTGATTTGGCTTGTTCGTTGAGGAGCCTTATGAATTTGACCGTTGCATACAATTTCTTCTCTGGGTTTAGCCAGGAGTGTCACAAGCTGCTCTTTAGGAACGCCGGGTTCATTTCTCGCTAAATTGCATACCTGGGAGAGACATGCAGAGACCGCGACCGGAGTGTGCGGTGATCTCCATGATCTCATTATAGTGGAAATTAATGTTTTTTTTTTGGCATCAGATTGGCAATCTGGTGGTCAATTTTCCCATTCATCAATTGCACAATCAAAGCTTCTCGAGAGTAAAGTGAGACAAAATTGCAAAATAAACTAGTCATTAAATTCGCACATCAGGAAGTGGAGTTACAACAATAAGCTGCAGGCAATTGCCATTTCTACATCTGTTTATGGTATGTAATACATTGGATTTGGCAATTTAAAGGAACGTTTTGCCACTGCAAAACCCAGCAAGTCACTCCATTGATCTCCAGTGCTCCCATGAATCCTGTAACCTTCATTTACTAGGACCGATCTCCTCTCCGATTTGTATACGGTCGCCGGTATCCCTACATCTGAAGCTCCTCTGTACCATAACCAAAATCCCATCACCCATTATAGTGTTTTTAACAGGTATGGTCATTAAAACCAGAATTGAGGAAATGCTTGCTTTAGAGCTTAACATACCTCAAGATAAGCCCTTCCCACCCGGCATAGCCAGCAAGCTCAAGATTCTTGCTGGTGTCCTGCCTCTGATGCTCACCCCGACCGGTAAGCACGAATATTTTAAACCCCATCTGCTTCAATGCATTATACAAGTTCAAACTCGATGGAATAGCTGGGGCCTTGGCTAATGCCACCCATTCATCCCAACAGCTCTCATTGAAGACTTCTGATCTACATTCATCACAAGATAGACCCAGCAACTTCAATGAGTGTAAGGCACAACACAGATTAAATTTTCGCACAATCGAAGCCGAATGCTGCGATGACTCCAAACATGATCTGTTAATCTGTTTCATTTCCATATACAGAGACCTTTGCACACGCCATAAGCACCACCCACCATATTAGCAATAGACAAACAGAACAAACAACTAGGACCATAGAACATGCATGTAATAACAGCATCATATTCCATTCTGAGATAGGATCCGCTTGCACGGTGAAACTCATTAGTTTTGCACGAAAATATAACTATAGGATGAATCTAAATAAATAACTGAGATTAAAACTTTATTATTCCATTTGTGTAAAACTGATGATTATTATACAGTGTAAGTGAATCCAAACCGATTTGTGAGTCAAAACTCCCAAAACATACCTTGCTCAAGGGATGTATCAAGCATCTTTTGATCACTATAATTAATCTATATTAAGATATATTTTACTTCCTTAAATGGCTGGATGTCCCTTGTTCCCATATGTAATGGGGTAAGGGGGAGGTAAGATAGTAGGCTGCCCCCAACATTAGGTTGAGAGCAGTTTTCGTAGAAGACCTCCAAATTATGAAATGCACTCGATCCCACGACCTCAATGAGCACATCTATTTATAATCATATAAAAGAAAGTTATCTCTCGGAAAAGAATCAGAAAGCATGTCAAGTACATTACATTTTAAGTTGAAGACAACTTAAAACATTTTTTCTTTAAACATTTTTCGATTGTTATAACATTTTAGGTTGCTAAAATATTATAATTTTTATAATATTTTAAATCTCTATCATTTCTTACTCTTAAATTAGTTTATTGTATAGTAGAACTACCAATAAACGTGACTAAAAAGCAAAAGAAAGTGCATCTATATCGAATCTTATCCGACATTAAAAAAAAAGATAAATTATGTATTTAGTACATAAATTATCAGTTTTGATCATTTTAGTACTTTTTATTACTAATATTTAATTTTTATTTTCTTTTAGTATGCTATCACTAAAAACTTAATACATTTAGTTAGTAAACTGTCTATTTTAGTCCGGTTTAATATCTAAACTTTTAATATTTTTTCAAAACTTAATGTTAAATTTTATACAGCTATTCAAATATTTTTTCAAAACTTAATGTTAAATTTTATACAGCTATTCAAATGAAACAAAAAACTAAACTTTACTTTAAAAAAAATAAAAGTTTATGTATTAAAACATATCAAAACCAATAAATTAGGTACTAAACAATTTATTTACCAAAAACTAAAAAAAGGAAAGGATCGATGTACATACCCGAACCCGTGATCCATATAGTATGGCAAATTGGTCAACAACGCCTCGTCGATGTCGAAGATCCAGGCGTCTTTCCCGTCGGGATCCATCTGGACGGTGGAGGCAAAAGAGAGGGAGAAATTCGCGACGACCTCGCAGTCGGAATCGTAGCGTTTACCGGTCATGTAATACTTGAAGTAGGAGAAGCAACGGGAGGGGATTTGGGTCCAAGCCCCGGCGTTATTAGTCTCGGCGGCTAAATGCCAGCTCGCGCAGTAGAGGCCCTCGCCGTCACTGTTGGACCGGCTGTCGACCGTCATCGTTCTCGTCGTCGGGAACCGGATAATAGGGTCGAAAGCGGCCGAGGAATCGGTAACGGAGCCGACGAGGAGGATGAGGAACACGGAGGTTAGCGGCCGAGAAGCCATCGGTGGTGGAAAAAAAATAAAAATTAAATCCGGTAATTCGAGCGGGAGAGTTTATTTATTCTCTCCCGTGGAGTGGGTAATGGTCTGAAGATCTGACAGCCGGCTGTCCTAAAATTTATAACATGAGCATCAATCATTGCTGTGTAGAGCGAAGCGGTGCCGTTTTGGGGGTTCTGTTTTCTTAGCCATACATTTCCTTTTCCTTTTCCTTTTCCTTTATTAGATTGTTTTGGTTTTATTGGTGTGACGATCCCATTGCTGTCGGGGCGGTATTTATAGGGTTAACTATATAAATGATCCTTACACTTTTAGTATTTTTAAATTTTGGTCAATGAACTTTTGAAACTTATATTACAATACATTATCTAAATCTTTCATGATTATAAAATGAATGATGTTACATATCTTAATTAGAGATGATAACGGATAGGGTTAGATTTAATTTTTGGAGAACTTAAATATAATCTAAAACTGATGTTCTTTGCCCATATTTGATCGATTGATCATCCAAGTTTAAGAAAATCTTATTCGATTTGAAATTCTAATTAACATTTTGGATCTCATACTTGAATTGTATATGTAATTCATATTTATTAAATAAAATAAATACCTACTAGAAAAAATTTGAAAGAATGATATTACAATTCTTCCTAAATATATAAAGGTTACTTTTTTTATTAAACTAAAGTGTTTACAAAGTATATATGTTCTAAGTACTATCAAGTCTCAACCATTTGACAATGAACGCTCAATCACCTTTGCAGTCACTGGTGATCGAATCTGTGACCTCTAGAATCAATAATGGTTCCTTTAATTACTGAATTAATTTGGTTCGTGCATATACAAAAGGTTAATTACAATATTACGTCATGTCAGATTAATTTTTTTTTACCCTAAACTAGAACTTGACTCAATATAGGGTTCTTGCATATCAAGATATTATGATTCTATATAATTGAGATGAGATTGATATTAATTCTAGATTGTTTGTATAGTGAGTAAACACAAGTGAATTTCCAGTTAGCTTGGTAATTCGAATATCGACAGTCATTAAATTTTGTATCCGTGTAGATATCGATCGGAAGCAAAGTTCTAATAGGTCGTCAGTGTAAGATTCGCAAGAGAGAACAAGAGTTTGGTAGTATCCATTGAGACCCAGGTGAGTACATGATATGAAGTGTAGTTATGTTAAGGAATTATGACTTGCGAGAAGTCTAATTCTAATATTAGATTATATGAGTAACCAGATGTAAGCATGTAGTGATATGATGTCTAGAGATATAAGAGTCCATGCATATGTCTAGATGTAAATGCATTGCTATGTTTGTGATATATGTGAATGCATGTATGTATGTTAATTATATGATTATGTGTAAAATGAGAAAAGCTATATGACTACAAGAAAATGTGAACATGTGACATAAGTTATGAACGACACAGATAAATAATATGAGATAAGACATAGGTGGTTACATGAGACATGATATGAAAAGAGTATAAGTATATGTGACAAGATATGTGAAAGTGAAATTATATGCGAATATGTTATGTGTAAGTGAACCATGTGATAAAGAGCTATGCGAAAGAACTATGTGATATGAATGTGTAATAAAATAAAAGATAATGCCCATGATATGAGTCATGAGAGCTATAGGTATAGTTGGCATGCCAAGAGTCGAGGGTTACCTATGTCCTTCGGGACATATGAACAATTTACATATGTATTCTGAGACATATGGATGTGGATGTGGATGTGGATGTGGTAAAATAAAGGGTTAGTCGATGAACTGCTCATATACTTTACCCTGAATTTAGCAAGGGTTAGTCGTGTGGATGTGGTAAAATAAAGGGGGAGGTGAACGGTAGTAAAGAAATGAAGTAAAACTCATGGCTTACAACACATCAAACCTTGTTCAAATCCCTTCTTCCTTTATTTCTTTACCGTCCCTTGTGAACAACATAAAAGACAAGCCCCATACCACAATCTCTCAGTCAATAAAAAAACAAACCAACTTCGTTACACAACAAGAAAGAAACAAAACATGCCATGGCAAACTTACGTAGATGAGCACTTCATGTGCTACATCGAGCACCAGAACCTTACCACCGCCACTATCATCGGCCATGCTAGCAGTGTTTGTGTAACACCCCTAACCCGTACCCGACCCGGATACGAATCCGAGGTGCCACATTGACTTTTCAAATCATAGAGAATTAACAAATAAGGATATATTAAATTTTTAATCAAAATAAAAAGGTAGAAAACCTTAATTTAATATAAGATAACAAATTCACGTTCATACTTACATAAAAGCTTTAATAATGTACATAAATACAAAATATGAGTTTACAAAATAGATCAGAGCTTTTCCAATTAAACGTATAATACATGCCAATAGTTTACAAAAGTTCAGAAAACCTACATTCAATTGGTCTTGATCTGATCTTCAAGGTAGTATGCTATCTTCGCCTAGCTTTAATCTTCTGTTTTTTTCAAACCTACGTGTGGAACAATCACACGCTAAGTCGATGACTTAGTGAGGCAAAAACTAAAGAGTATTAACTT